GTGCATCATTTGTATGTTTGGATGAGGAATACTTGGATTAGGAGTACGTAGGTCTTGTTAGGAATTATGTTTGTTGTAGAATAAAGATTGGTTAACTATGTAATAACTATTGAATCTTCAAGTTTTATGAAAGAAACTATTATATATTCATTAATAAAGCATTATGGTTGGTTTTCTAGTTAAAATCATTGTATAGCATCATAGGAAATCAAAAAGCATTATTGTATGTAAAGATGACTTTTTTTTTATAAAAATCGTCGTCTATTGTATGTAAAGATGACGCTTTTTATAAAAAAAACCGTCGTCTATTGTAAGTAAAGATGACGCTTTTTATAAAAAACCGTCGTCTATTGTAAGTAAAGATGACGCTTTTTATAAAAAAAACCGTCGTCTATTGTACGTAAAGATGACGCTTTTGATAAAAAAACCGTCGTCTATTGTACGTAAAGATGATGCTTTTTATAAAAAAAACCGTCATCTATTGTACATAAAGATGACACTTTTTATAAAAAAAAACCGTCGTCTATTGTATGTAAAGATGACGTCTTTATAAACAATCCACAACGGTTTTCATAAAAAATCGTCATCTTTACATACAATACATGACGGTTTTATTAAAAACAGTCGTCTTTCCTCCTATAATTAACGATCTTTACCTCTAAACAATGACGATTTTCTTTAAAAACCGTCGTCGTTATGGATAAACAACGACGGTGAAAAGCGGTCGTAGTTTGACACCCAAATAGATGTCGGTCGATTTCACGACAGTTTGAAAACTGAATACACAACAGTGAATTCCCATCGTCTTTGGCCTTTTTTTTGTAGTAGTGTATTTAAGTAAAATATTGTTACCAAGTGGTGTGGTAACAATTAGAAAATGGAGGGTAACATCCAATTGAGGTAAAATTGGCCCAAAACAGGCTTCCAGAGCGAGTATCAATGCTGGATTGGTTTGAAAGGCTATACTTGTTCAATAGAGCTAAATTTCGGATATGTTGTAGTTGACACCCATTGAAACAAGTTTCATGAAGAATTTTACTGCATCTGAGTACTGAAACATGCTAATCCAAAGCCAAGGAGTTGACCTACGAAAATGAGCAAAAACTAAATTTACATTCAATAATCCTTTTAGCTCATATTTCTTCCAACCAAGGTAAAACTTATAAAAACATAAGAAAAGAAGTATAAATCTGTAATTGTCAATAACTAACTCAAACATTGCGTGATAAATCATATATAAAAATAAACCAAACTATTTTACTTTGAAACTTTTAAGGTTTATGTGAATTTTCTGCTATATTTGAATTTTTTATATATAGAAACTGATATTTATGAAAGTATGGGTCAAATTTTGGCTTTTTTATTTTTTTATTATTAATATTTATAAATTATAAAAAGGTACAAATTTATTTGGATTTGATGTTCTCCTCCAGGTTAGTTTGCAGATATTAAGTATTTTTTTATTAACAGAGAGGAAGATTCGAACATAAAATATCTTTCAACATTGAGAAGAAGAATACAACTAGATTTGATATAGATAATTTTTCTTATAGTGTGAGTACTAAGAACGAAAATCGTTTGAACTGCAAAACTTAAGAGTCTCTAAGGAAAAACTGGAAAGATTGTGCTCCTCTTATACACAACACTTTCTAAAATGATGGAGTAAATTAAAAAGGGAAACAACTTTTTTACCATATCTAATTAACAAAGGAAATCAAGAATGAGTGCAACAAGATAAATCGCAAGATATCACTACTAGTGAAAATGAGATGAACCACATAACGTTGCTGTGTTTCTGCTACATAAAATATATCCTAATTATACAAGAATATGTCAACTATATAAAATAAGAAATTAAACCCCCTAATTAATTAAAGAAATGAATCTCCTTGATTAATTAGGATAGCTCATGTCAACACTCTTCCTCAAGTTGGTGCATATACCTCACCAACTCCCAACTTGGTCAGTGAGTCATAAAACACTCTTCCATAGACAGCTTTTGTTAAGACATTTGGCAATTGATCTTATGATTTTACGAAGGGTAGACATATGATTTTGTTCTCAATTTTTTTCTTTGATGAAATGTCTATCCACCTCAACATGTTTGGTTCGATCATGTTAAACTGGATTATGAGCAATATCGATAACTGACTTGTTTTCACAATATAACTCCATTGGCTTTTATAGTTTGAAACTCAATTCTGTCAAGAGTCTTCTTATATATAATAATTCACAGACTCCTTGAGCTATTCTTCTATATTCTGCTTCTGCACTAGACCTGGAAACCACATTAAGTGACAAGGTTACCTCCAACAAATGTAAAGTAATTCGATGTAGAGCGTTTATCTGTAATGGAACCAGCCCAGTCAGCATTTGTATATCCAATAACTTCAAGATTTCCATTCTTGGAGAACATTACCCTTTCCAGAGGCTGACTTTAAGTACCTTAAGATCCAATCAACTGCATTCCTATGAGAAACACTGGGAGAATGCATAAATTCACTAACCACACTTACAGCGTGTGCAATATCTGGTCTTATGTGTGCCAAATATATCAACATTCCAACAAGGCGCTAGTATTGTTCCTTATTGGTAGGCACCCGATCCATGTCTTCACACAACTTGGGATTCATCTCAATGGGTGTGTCAGTAGTGAGTAGATCCATCACATACTTCCTTTGAGACAATATACTAGTTTTTGACCTTACTACTTCAATTCCGAGGAAGTATTTCAGAGCTCCTAAATCCTTCATCTCAAATTCCTGAGATAAATACTTTTGTAGCTTTTGTTGCTCTTCTGTGTCATTCCCAGTTACGGCCATATCATCCACATAAATAATTAATGTAGTGATTTTTTCTCCTGTTAAGGCCCAAAAATCCAAGGATTAGGCCCAAGTTATTCCTAGCCCAACACGAATAAATTGATCGCGAAAGAAACATAAGAAAAATTGTGGGACACGCCCATGTAAGCCATGGGTCATGCGTCATGCCAAGCAAACATGCGCAAAAGAATCAAAATGCATCGGCTTTGTAAATGCACGCTCACCAACTCAATCCGATGCTATTTGGCCCAATCATAACTTCTTGTGGCATGATAAAATTCAAGCACAAGCAGGCTAAATAAACACGCAAGGCCATGTGGAAAACCATTATTTTAATACCTAGCTATGCTACAGGCTTAAGTAGGCCTAAGCCACGTAGTTACCCAGGGCTTGCTGAGAAGGTTGTGGTATGGAAGGGAACAAGCAATCATAGGGCCCATTGAGGGTTTGAGGAATGAAAAGTTTTAAGCTACTTGGAAGCATTAAAACGCAAGTCCGTTCCTCGAGCCCAAACACATGAGTTAGCATGAGAGAAGAGGAAAATGATCCAATGCCTTAGGAGAATGCATAGTAATTTGCTATGACACTTAGACAAGCCCACACCAATAAAATGCCTATAATTAAATAAGCTGTTTCCAGCAGCTCGAGGAAAACCCATTAAGCACAGGAAATAACATGCTAATAACCCAATACTGTGCTCATGAGCCTAGCCCAGCGACTTGTGAAAAATCTGGCATCGTGCTTCATCCTTGTCAGAGTTCCAAGGTGGTCAACAAAGAGTCATGGCAAGGACCAAAGGAAATCCATGAACATAGGAAGAATACTCAGCGGACAAAAGACTCCACCCATCTCCCTTTCCTACTGTAAGCACCATTTTGAAAAACCAAGAAAGAAAGCAAGTGGCGCCTCATCCTCATGGGCAGGTCCAGCCACACAAAATCCTTGGAACCCCAAAGGGCTCCTTACCCAAGCGCCTTGGATAGGAGAATTTCACCAAATTAGATCAAGTAGGAAGAAACAACGGAAAAGGGAGGGAAAAGTTAGATGAAATTAGGATTCTTTTAGCCTATAAAAGGGAGCTTCTCCTACCCAGCAAAATCATCATCCAGAGCCTGACCAAGCTTTGTCAAGCTACTGGAATTTACTCAAGCCACCTAATCTACTTCTCTCGTTGTTTTCTTCTTTTCCTAAGATAGAAATCCTCATAATTTTTCTTCTACCCCATTTTAATTATGCAAGGAACTCATGCTTTCTCTCTCTCAAATTGCTAAACTTGTGAAAGCTTAGCTCCCATGCCACAAGCTCCTCAAGCCAACCCATTCATCGATTTGTTGTGTTTGTTTGGTTATTAGTGAAAAGAACCTGAAAGCGGTTTTTCTAAAGTTCTAACAAACTTTTCAAAAACCTTTTGGGAGCTTGGTTCTTGAACTCAAATACTGGGGGAATTTTGTTTGTTTTCTTCTCACAGCAACCCAAGCCCATTCGTCAGGCTACTGGAACAAAAAGACCCCTACACCTCCATCACGCTTCAAGAACAGGGTATGATCTGAATGACTTTGAATGTATCCAAAATTCTTCATGGACTTAATAAATCTGCCAAACCTTGCCATGAAAGATTGTTTTAACTCATATAATGATTTTTTGAGCTTGCAAACGTGATTTTTCTTGTCAAGAGCTATATTACATCATGGTGGCAAATCCATGTATACATCTTCGTCCAAGTCTCCATGTAAGAAGGCATTTTTAACATCAAGCTGATATATAAAGGTATATGTGTCCTTTATGCTTTCTGAAATCAAATCATCATGATATATTTCATTAGCGTTATCAGTTTTAGAGGGAGATGTTACCTGAATGACTTCCTCATAAGGTGATTGGTGTAGTACTAGAGCTGAAGGCGGGTCTGGCGAGGGCAAAAGCTCAGAAAATCATTCAACTTCCTCATCCTGATTTTGGTAGCGTGGAGTCAACTGGTTGTTTTTGTCACATCCCCGGGATCGGCTCCACTATAACACGATATTGTCTGCTTTGGGCCCCCTCTCTGCCCTCACGACTTTGTTTTTGGGAATTCACGAGCAACTTCCTAATGGGTCACTTATCCCGGGATTGTTGTAGCCCCAAGTCGCTTAACTTCGGAGTTCCCATGACTCCGAAGCTAGTGAGCTCCCAAAAGGCCTCATGCTAGATGGAGGTGGGTATGTACATATATGGCACATCACTCCATCTCCGTTGGTCGATGTTGGATGTTACAACCCACCCCCCTTAGGGACCCGACGTCCTCGTTGGCACACTTGCACCACACAGCAGAGTGGCTCTGATACCAAATTGTCACATCCCGGGATCGGCTCCGCCGTAACATGATATTGTCCGCTTTGGGCCCCCCTCTCTGCCTTTAAGGTTTTGTTTCTGGGAACTCACGAGCAACTTCCCAGTGGGTCACCTATCTTGGGATTGCTCTAGCACCAACTCGCTTAACTTCGAAGTTCCCATGACTTCGAAGCCAATGAGCTCCCAAAAGATCTCGTGCTAGATGGAGGCGGGCATGTACATATAAGACACATCACCCCCTCTCCTTTGGTCAATATGGGATGTTACAATTTTCCACTGGCGACATAGGCTCAATGTTTGGCAAAAGAGGATAAAATGACCAATTGTTTGGACATAATGGCTCCGCCTGTGAAGGAATAAAGGGGGGCGATCGGTCGCTTTGATGCTGAATTTCTTATGTTGTGAAAAAGTCCAAAAAAGTCAGGGTGTTTGGCTGTAGATTCTCCTTTTGTGCTTCTGAAAAATATATGTTGTATTTTCATAATACTACATCTATGAAGGTATATACCTTATGACTTAGAGGGTGATAACATCGGTGGCCTTTCTGATGAGGGGCATAGCTAATGAAAACACACTTTTTGCACAGGGATCCAATTTGTTGTGTTCGTGATCATATAAGTGTACAAATGCAACACGGCCGAAAATCCGTGGTTCAAGGTTTATGGCGGGAGGTATTTGAAAATGATGGTGAAGTGTTTGAAGAGGAATTTGAAAATTCAAGATACTGGAGGGAATCCTATTTATAAGTTAAGCTGCAGAGAGGACGCCCTCGCCTAAAAAAGGGCAAGGAATGTTGGCGCCAAATAAAGATGCACAAACGACTCCCAATAAATGTCCTTTTTGTCGCTCAGCCACCCCATTTTGTTGGGGAGTATATGGACAAGAGTGTTGATGTATGATTTCATGATCCTATAAGAATTGTTTGAGATCATGATTAAGAAATTCTCTGCTATTGTCAGAACGAAGAACCTGTATTCGGGCATGAAATTGAGTCGCTACCATTTTATGGAACTATTGAAATGTTAAACTAACTCCCCTTTGGTTTGTAGAAGGAAAACACAAGTCATTTAGGTGCAGTCATCAATGAAAGTGACAAACCATCGAGCTCTAGCCAGAGTAGCGATTTGAGCATGCCCCCAAACATCAAAATGAATAAGGGAAAACAGAACCAAACTTTTATTTGTACTTGAAGGGAACGAACACAATGACTCTTATCCAATTCACACGTATCACACTAGAAGCTGGAAACATCAAAATTGAAAAATAATGATGGAAAAAACTTCTTTAGATAGCCAAACGAGGCATGCCTAAAACGTTTATGCCATAATCAAACTTTGTCTCTCTGCCTCTCAGAACTAGCTCCACTGGTTGTGAAAGTTTGACTAACCTTGGTCTCACTATTCGGTGCCCAGTCCAAATAGTAGAGTTTGCCCCGCCTAGTACCACAACCAATCATTTTCCCCGTGAGGATGTCCTGAAAAACACAATGATTCAGCTAAAATGTTACAGTACACCCCAAAGTAGTAGTGAGTTGTGCAATAGACAACAAGTTATGTTCTAAGGAGGGAATAAGCATACATAATCCAGATGTACAGAGTTAGATAGAGAGATAAAGAGCCCTCCCCAACCAAATGGGAGGGGGTACTATTAGCATTAGACACTACCAACGGAGTGGTTGATTTGCGACTTAGATGTTGGTTAGGATCAAATGCCATGTGATCCATAGCACCTGAGTCAATAATCCATGTTGGCTTTGGAGAAGACGTATGAAAAGCGAAACCTTTGGTGGGTGGCAATAGAAGCACGAGTCTGCGTAGCTGATTCAGTAGGAGTGACCGCATGCTTCTGTGAGTCTGCAAGGAAGAAGTGAATCGTAAGGGGTTCTGACATCCCAGCGGAAGTAAGATTTGATATGAGTGTGTTTTTGTGGTTAAGGAGCTGATTTGAGAATTTGATTTGAGGAATTTGAGGGATTTGATGTGTTAGGAATTTGATTTGAGAGGTGTGTGTTTAAGGAGTTTGATAAGAGGATATGATTTTAGAGGTGTAAGATTTGGATTTGAGGAATTTGATTTAGGGTTTGGGTTTGAATTTGAGGGTTTATAGACAACCTTGGATCAATTACTTTGATACCATGCTAAAATATAAATATGGTTTGAATACGTTAGGTTCAATGTATTCTACTCCATAAAGAAATATATATAAGAAATAGATACAGTAAACAATTAGGAGAATATCTCCTAATGGGGCTTTCTCCATACGGATTACTAATTTGCGGATTGAATGCGGTTTTCTATTTGGAACCGTTAGATGTCATTGGCGGTGGAGATTTAACATAAAAAGCAAAACATAAAAAATACCCCTTTGCACCGCCATTTGAGAAACAAAGAAACAACAGGCAAACCCATCCAATCCAGGAGACCCGTGCTTCTCTATCGTCTTTCCCACCAAAAAAACATTTGCCCACAGTTCTCTGGCAAAATTCTTCAGGTAGGTTTGTGGTTTGGACTGTTGGGATTGTGGCTTGGACTGCTGGGGGATTTTATTCTTCTTCTTGCTTGTTTTGTGCTGTGTGGGTTTGTTTTTTTTTTTTTTTTTTTTTTTTTTTTTTTTTTTTTTTTGGTTTTTAAAAAATAGAACATTATCACTCAAGGTGGAGGCAGGCCATCGCTTGTCAATACCAGCACCAAAGAGGGAGGAGGCTGTGAAGCCTGGGTTTTGGGTCATTTGGGACTTGGTGTCTTCTGCGTCTAATTCCATCAGTACAAGGAAAAAAGAAAGAGAAAAAACTGCTGAGAGATTCTTCTGACAGATTCCCTCTTGGGTTTGCTGTCAGAAAAAATAAAAATAAAAACTAGAGAAAAATTAACTCTTGTGGAGAAGCTCTTATTGTTTGCTGTCAGTGACTACACTTTAATTTAGTTTGGTGTGAACTATTTTGGTTCTCAAATTCTATTCTTTGAGCTATTGCCCCTTGATATGGAGCAAAGCTTGGAGCAAAATTCTTCAGGCGGGAGAGAGAACTCCGAAATGCATGGGGAAGAAATGTTTCTTTGGTGGGAAAGACGATAGAGAAGCACGGGTCTCCTAAATTGGATGGGTTTGTCTGTTGTTTTTTCGTTTGTCAAATGGCGGTGCAAAGGGGAATTTTTTATGTTTTGCCTTTTATGTTAAATCTCCACCGCCAATGACATCTAACGGTTCCAAATAGAAATCCGCATTCAATCCGCAAATAATAATCCGTAATGGAGAAAGCCTCATCTCCTAATTATACAAGAATATATCAACTATATAAATGAGAAAATAAATTCTTGATTAATTAGGATCACTTCAACAGTTTCCCCCCCGCCTTCTCCCCCCCCCCCCCCCCCTCCCCCCTCTCCCTCCCCATCCTCCCTGCTGTGTTTTCGTTGGTCTTTCGAGGTCTCCTCTCGGGCATTTGGTGTCCCCATTTTGCTGGATCTGAAGCTCTCACCTTGGTTGAGAGCGGGTTGACGTGTTCGAGCTTACCTTGCTCGTTTAGGAGGCTTTATGCCTCCTATCTGATTAGATCCCTCATATCTCCACCATTCTATTCTTCTCAGAGTTATCCTTTGGTCTTCGTCTTTTCGACTGCTGATCTCGGTGTCTACGATTTCGGTGAAGTTGCGATTTCTCGAGTTGTTGATGGTCAACACCTAGATCCACCCACTTCCCTTTCGATCCGGCTTCACCACATGGATACAACAGCCAACCCAAAACGCGATCTATCGCGTGCCCCTTGGAAGGTGTGTAGAGCCGCGGCAACGCTCCGGCTGGGGTTCCTGCACCACCTCCTTCCTGCTCCTTGGTTCTTATTCTTGTGCCTTTGGACTGCTTTAAGAGTTATGGTTTTTGTGGTAGATCTGTGGTGTGGTTCTATTTTTTCTATAACTTTTTTGGTTTCAATCTGTTGTTGTGCGGTGCTTTATTGCATTTAGGTGTGAAATTTTCTTTGGTTTATCTGTTGATATCTCCATCTGGAACAATCTCGTTGTTCTTGTTCATGTAATATCACAGATTAGTTTGTTTCCTTTGAGCTTCCTTAATCGGTTGCTCTGGCTTTTGTATGTCCTAGCCTTCCCATGTGTTTCTATCGAAGATTTGATCTTCCTGACCAAAAAAAAAGAAGATGATCCACATAACGCAAATTTTTAATTAAAATTTTATATTTCCATACTTTCTCCACTTATTTTTCTTACAACACACCACACCTTTAGGGGGACAGGAACCTTAATCTAGGCATAGAGCTCCAATTTAGATAACCTGGGTGTTGGAATGGCAACTAATGGAGTCATTTTCCTTGTCACAACCCCAAACCTCTCTGAAAGATCAAGATTTGTTCCATAGGGCAACCTCCACTCAAACGAATGCAAGAATGAAGCCAGCACATAAATTAGCGTCCTCTCTGCCAAGGGCAGCCCTGCGCATATTCTTCTGCCAGACCCAAATGGAAGATACTCAAACCTATTGCCCTTGTAATCAAACTTGCTTTGGTCGTTTAGGAACCTCTTGGGCCTAAATTCCAAGGGACTGTCCCAGACACTTGGGTCTCTTTGATTGGCCCAGATGTTCAGATAAACACTTGAACCCTTGGGTATGTTGTAGCCTCCAATGGTGGTAGATTGAGTTGGCAAACGTGGAACTAGCAGGGGCAGCGCTGGGTGCAATCTGAAGGTCTCCTTGATGACAGCATCTAAGTAATGTAATTTGGGCAAATGAAACTCTTCAACCAAGGTGTTCAACCCCACAATCTCTGTTAGTTCTTCTTGAACTTTTCTCAATTCATCTGGATTTTGCATCAGTTCAGTCATCACCCATTCCACTGTTGTTGTGGTGGTGTCAGTTCCTCCCACCATAACGTCCTATATATTAAACAATTTAGAGCAACCCAATATATAGGTGTGCACATATACATTATGTAGCCAATACAAGATAATCAAACTTTTTTTTATTAACCAGGGAACAGGATGCGACTTTCACACCTCTTCTTGTTTTGGAAATCACTAATTGGTTAGTCACTCTGAAAAAAGTTTGATCTTGTTGAATGTATATATAATTCAAATTTACAGTCAGACAATATAACATACTTTAATAGTGTATATCAAATTTACAGTGTCACAATATAAGATGCTTTAAGTAGATTGAATGTATATAGTTCCTAGCTTGACAAGATAATATAGGCCCCTATGTCTCCTTTGATAATATAGGCCCATACAACAACTATTTTTTTTAAATTTCCTAGACATGAATTCATCAATTTTGAAATAACTCAAATTCAAACTGAAATGCCCTGTAAGATATAAAAGATCATAATACTCCTACATATTTACATTGCTTGCCATTAGACTTCAGATAACTCCCTCATTTCTAATTAATTCTTCCTTATTTATAGGATATCAATTACTCCAATTTTTTGTTGGGCATTCCCTCTAATCCTGAAAATTTATAATAAGAACTCCTTAAAATTTCTACTAGTAAAAAATCCCTCAAATTTCAACCAAAAAAAGTACAATAAATCAGATCTTACACTTGTTGAGTTAGATCCTAGTCATTGAATTTTATTTATTAAAAAAAAAGGGTTTTATTCAGAGGAAAATAAAGAAATGAGTTGTAGGTGAGAAAAAATGAATTTGAAGGGATTTAACTAAATATACTATTAAAATAACATTATTGTAAACCTGGAAGCACGAACTGATTTATGGATCTTGTCTCTACCAAAAGAAGAAAAAGAAATGGATCTTATCTCCACTCCACCCAAAAAAGAGAAAGATCTACGGATCTTGTACACGTACCGTGAGCAAGGCCAAGAGTTCTTGCATTGTAAGCGGTGTTGCACTCTCTTTATTATGCTCCAAGAGGAACTGCAACAAGTCCTTCCTTCCAGGTTTTTGTTGAAGCCCCTCATTTTCGGCTGGAGGCATACTCATCTGGATTTCGATGGCAGAAGTGAAGATCTTTTCAGTGACAGAAATAGCCTTCTGTTGTTGCCTCCTAATCCCTTGTATATCAAACCTGGCAAGCACAGGAAAAAAGTCTGAAACGTTCGGCTTTGCAAGCAACCCCATAATTTCTGTCACCACCTTCCGAAACTCAACCCCAATATCAGTTGCTCCCTTCTCTTCCTGCAGCGTCCCTCCCCATATCATGCGCTTGAGTGTGTTGATGCTGGTCAAAAATGCCACCTCCCCCAAATCAACTGCGCTGCCAGCTTTGCCATGAATATAATTCAGAGACTTGTGAACCTCTTCTTTCCTCAGAGCATAGCAAGCATCAATGTTGGCATTGCTCAGCATGTGGCTCACGAACACCTTGCGCAACCGCCTCCAATCCGGCCCATACGTTCCAAACGCTATGTCAATGCCACCGTATGATGCAACCTGTGCAGCAACGGTGGCATCACGGTTGGAAAATATGGTGTCGTGGTCACGAACCACTTGTTTGACAAGAGTTGGTGATGTGATCACAAAGCATAGTTTGCTACCAAGTTTTAGCTTGTAAATAGGGCCGTAGGTTTTTGCCAACTTTGTGAAATCGTGGTGAAGGTTGGGGCCTAGAAAGGGAAGGTACCCTAGCAGGGGAACGCCACAAGGGCCTGGTGGCATTGGAGGGGTTGGTTTCCTTGACTTTTTCCAAGGCAACAGGAACCAGAAGAGAGTAAACAGTAGGGCTAAAAGGGTGAGAAAGATGAAGACTGCTTCATCTTTCTCAATGCTAGCAACAACATCCCAAAATGGTGACCACATTGTCTTCAACATTTTAATTGGTTTTTTCTAAATGAAAGGTCCCAACACACACACACACACATATATATAGGAACTTTTTGTTTTTATTTTCAACTCTACCGGATAAAATAATGGTTAAAATTTTCAGATAAGTGCTATATATCCAGAAGAAAACGCCAAGAATTTCAGACAGATATAGTTTTAATGATTCAGATAAGACTTTAAAGGAAAAGATGAATAATAATCACAAGTGCCAAATAGTTATGGTCAATATCTGAAAGTTTGGTGGAGGTTAGCTAGATCGGCTACATAAATATTTCTGGCATTATTTGTATATTTTTATTTATTTATTTATTAAAATTAGGACCATTATTCGATTTTTGGCGGTGTCTTGATTCTTTGAACCGCAGAGAGGTCCTGGCCTGGATCTCATTCCCTGCCCATATAAATCTGTTTCTTTATAGCGAGGCCACATTTACGATTGCCACGTGCCTGTAGCAGCCCAACTGACAAGATCGATATGAAATGATATGCCTCCATTTTAAACATGCTAAATCAAATAAAATACACTCAGACTTGTGTTGATGCAGATATCTAAGGAGGTATTACAATTTATGTAGCATTGGGATGAGAGATTAAGTTTTTAAACACAGAGAGCATTCTCTCCTTTTCTCATAATCTGAATATTCTTAACATCAACAAATTCGAGTGTTTTATCTTGACTTTTGTGCCTAGTTCCGGATACACCCTTGCACAAGTACCGTTGCATCACATGTGCTCATTTATCATCGGGATCAATAATTCTTTGATAAGTGTAGAAGCTCATAGGCCTTGAGGCTTTCCATGACCAATGCTATACATGACTTTTCGAGAGAGGAAATAACATTTGAATTAGTTCTCGATGTTAGACGGTCAAGTTGCTAATCTTAATTATTGATCAAGTTCATATAAACCGTAGTTTAAGTACAACTTCAATCATCAAAAACATTAACATCTTGAAATATTGTAGGCTACTCATAGAGTGCTGGATCCGATAGCCTTGGAGTTGGGATGAGAATCAGAGGTATCTTCTTCTTCATCACAATCCCAAACTTCTCTGAAAGATCCAGCTCCTCCCCCTGTGGCAATTTCCAGTCAAAGGAATGCAAGAGTGTAGCAAGTGTATATACCATCATCCTCTCAGCCATTGCTGTCCCAACACATATTCTTCTGCCTGACCCGAATGGTAAATAGTTGAAGTCACGTCCACTATAGTCCCATTTGCCATGCAAGAACCTGTCTGGATCAAAATCCAATGGGTCTTCCCAGTTAGAAGGGTCCCTATGAATAGCCCATGCATTAACAAGAACCCTAGAACCCTTTGGAATGGTGTAGCCTCCCACTATGCATGTTTCACTTGGGCAGTGAGGGATTAAAAGTGGCAGGACTGGGTGCAGGCGTAGAGTTTCTTTCACCACAGCTTGTAAGTATGGTAATTTGAAAATATGAGTTTCTTGTACAATGTTGCCTTTGCCAACTACATCGTCCAATTCTTGCTTGGCTTTTCCCATCACCGCCGGATTGTTCATGGTTTCAGCAAATGCAAACTCAGCTGTGTTGGAGGATGTGTCAGTCCCACCAAGCATCATATCCTGCCCTCAATCATATTGTTAAACATCATGTTAATGTGATAGTTTGTTTACAATTCACATGAAACATGAAAAAGATATATATGCTTACGCTCCACAAGGCACGTTATTTTGCTAGACTAATTGGTACCTAAGATTTCAGGAGATTGTGAATTGAACTCAAAGATCACATTAATTTGTCTAAAATTTGGTACCGTAAGATTCTCGTACCCTAAAATTTGTTATGGACACATCCTAATTCTAGTACCCTAAAATTTGTTATGGACACTCAATTACTCATGATACCATTATTGTGTTTTTAAACTATACCTTCCCCCCATTGTTGTCGCATTGAAAGGAAGCTTGGATTTATTATAAAAGTTGCTCACTACACCAAGTCATTTTCAAAATATTCCGACTATAATCCTTAAAAATTATATTTTATTTCTTTGATACTTCAAAGGAAAAACTAATAATTATCCCAAAATAATCTTTTCAAATCCCAATTGAATACACCCCCCAAAACTAAACTACAAATCAAAGCCAAAAAATAAAAAATGACAACCTAATATTTTTCTAAAAAAGTTAAGTTAATGTGGATGAGAAATTGGGAAAACTAACAATCATAAGTTTGGCCGAGTATGCTGCCAATCATTTTTTACCTCTTATTATAGCGTGTGGTTCTGGAGGAGCATGCATGCAAAAAGGAAGTTTGAGCTTGATACAAATGGCCAAAATATCTTCTGCTTTATATGATTATCAATCAAACAAAAAGTTATTTTATGTATCAATCCTTATATCTCCTACCACATGAGAAATTATAGAATAGTACCGTATCACCACGTCAGCCTGTAATACTCCTAATTAAAATTTGTCATGTGTCATTTTTAAAAACAATTAAAAATTTATTTTATAGTTGGACATAAAACCCAACTATAACCCTTTGAAATAAAATTTAAAAAATAAAAGATCATGAAAAAGATGGAACTGCCCACCCCAACCCAATCTCCTACTGGCCCCTCCCTCTCTCTCTCCCCCTTCTCACGTAGTTCAACAACTTAACCATATCTGAATAATTCATTATCACCCTTTCGATGGCTACCCCAAGACCTAGTTATAGTTCTCCCTTTTGAAGGTCTCACTCATTTGTTGACTACTAATAAAATCTGTAAAAGCTTGATGTGAGAGATGAGTGTTGATGGTAATTGAATTTCAATGCTTAAGATATGTTGCATGTGCTTCCATGAGTTCAAGAGACCTTTCAGTTTGAGAGAGAGAGAGAGAGAGAGAGAGAGAGAGAGAGAGAGAGGCAGTGCATGGTAAGGGGTTGGGTTGGGTCGGGTGTAGGGTTGGAATCAGGGGAATTCCAATTCCAAAAAAAAAAAAAAAAAAAAAAAAAAAAAAAAAAAAAAATTTCGAGAATGAATATTCTTTTCCAATTCCATTCCAAAAAAATTTGGAATTTCGACATCCATTCCAATTTGGAAAACTCGGAATTTTTGGAATTATATGAAAATTTCGGAACTTACATATTTTGGAATATTTTTGGAAAGTTTTGAAAACTCATTGAAAATTTTAAACATGTCTGATGATTTATAAGGTTAAAATTTTCTCAAAATTGAAAAATCATACGGAAAAACTCGAAAAACTATTATATAATATCACTTATATGTTGTTATCCATTACGAAATAGTTCATCTATGTCTATTTGATCATCAAGTCATATAAATTCAATATCTAGTTGTTCACATACCATGAGCAGAGCTTTGAGGTGAGTCATGGTCAGAGGCGTCTTCGAATCTCCTCCCTCCTCTTTCAACTTCAACAAAAAAGTCAAAAAATCTTGACTCTCTTTCGCGCCTTCCTCCTCCATCCTCAGCCGTTGATCAATCATCTGCTCAAATATCCCATCAAACCTCCGGACCAGCCCCTCCATCTGCTTCTTTATACCCTGCAAATCGAACCGTCCCAAACCCGGAAAAAAATCAGAAACATTGGGCCGACCTATGAGCCCCGTCGTCTCCGACACTAATTTCCGAAACTCCGCCCCGAGCCCGGCCCTCTCCTCCCCGTCTTCCGCCGTGATGCAGCGGCCACATATCATGTTAGAGATGACGTTAAGCGACGTCAGGAAGATCTGCTCGCCCACGTTTACGGGCGACCCGGCCAGACCGTACAAGTACCTGACCGTCTTTCGGACCTGGTTTTGGCGGATATATTGGAACGAGTCTAGCGCGGCGCCGCCGAGCATCTTCAGGATGGAGACCCTTCTCAGCATCCGCCACTCCAGCCCGTGCGGGGTCCACACGACGTCGGCCCCTCCGTAGAAGGCGATCCGGGCCGCTACGGGAACGTCACGGTTGGCAAAGGTGACGTCACGGTCTTTGAGGACCTCGCGGGCGGAGGAAGGGGAGTTGATGACGACGCAGGTCATGGCGCCGAGGTGGAGCTTGAAGATTGGGCCATAGGTGTGGGCCAGGCCGGCAAAGTAGGAGTGGAGTTCTGGGTCGAGAGAGAGAAGGTTACCGAGTAAGGGCATGCCCGATGGGCCTGGGGGCAAAGGTGGGAGTTTGTTGCGGGACCTTTTCATGCACAGCCATGCACACCAGATGCTTGCGAAAATGGCTGTGAGAGTGTAGAGAAGAAGCCAACTCTCATCATTTCTGGTACTAGTTTTGAACCAATTCATGGTAAGCTTCAAATTGGGATTTGAGTTTTGTGTGAAGAAATAAAGGGAGAAAGGGAAGGACTCAGTGCTTTGCTAGTGAATATTCAGTGTACGATTAACTCAATGGGGGCCACCAATGCGTTGGTTTTAATTTCGACCACATATTTTTGCATGCAAGTTGAACCTAAAGCACGGTTGCAAATTACAAATGCAATCAACTACCTCTTTATTTAGTCATAATTTTTTGTTGATTAAAAGAAAACCACATGATTTAAGGAAATTGGCAAGATAGTGATTAACTTTTCCATTAATCATTGCTCAATTATTTTATATATTTGTCGTGGCATCATTTTTCCCATTTTATGCATATGTAGCCCCTCATTTTGATGGGACTCTCCCACACACTTGGTGTTGAAGAATACACGAGTCCCATATTGGAAATTTAACAAAATAAAAAGTCTCATATAATAAATGGTTCCACTCTTAATAACACCGATGCCTTTTGTGATAAAACCTCACACTTATTGGGCTTTGTAGGTGGTTAAGTTGGGGACAATATCGGTATTGTTGGTAGTGGGCTGATGACCCATCTCTTTGAAATCTTAACATAGTATCAGAGTTAGGTTGGTTGATTGGACCCGATTAAACCCAAATAAAAAACAAACTCAAAATTAAACAAAAAAAAACCCAAAATTGAATCAAAATCCCAAACACAAAAAAAAAAAAAAAAAAAAAAAAAAATAAAAAAAAAAAAAGAA